CACAGGGCTTAACCAAGTTGTAGCTGTTGTCTGGGTAAAAACTGCACTTCTAGCTTTTTCCATTTCTTTTTCTTATCTTAAAGTTAGAATCTGAATTTTGTTTCTGAGATTTTATTTTAATTAGCAATGTAATTAGACAGCAATGATGTAAAGTTTACAGATGTGTGGCAAGATGCTGCAGAACATTTTAAAACTGGGTTAATATATCTACTGGCATGGATTAAAGATTCTTCACTGTGGGTGCGAATAGGGGTGAATACTGTTTTACGGGTGATATGCTACCTGACCAATGTTTAATAAATAACGTCTGACACAGATTTTTTTGAAAACTGAGCACAATGATAGTTTGTGTTTATAATACGTCAGAATACTTTCATATTACATAGCTCCTCAGAAATGAATTTACTGAGGCTGACAATTTTTAGCCAAAGCCTAGAAGGAAATGTGTCTGATGCCAGTAGGAAATTCAGTGTAAGCATAACATTACTATCTATGCTATCCCATAAATATATTTGTGAGAACAGTATGCGTCATTAAAATGCTTAATTCTAAAGCGTGTATAAATTATTATTTTTAAGCAATTACATTTGAGGTAAATATCATTATGAAGGCAATATTCAGCCTATTTTATCAGCCACCAACAGAATTAAGGCAGCTTGTGATAGAAAGGATAAATGATTATTCATCAGTTGGAGCTGAACATAAGTTCTGTATCAACTAGCAGCACCATGTTACTAGCATTGCTGTTTGGCTAGACCTTTTAAATACTATTTCTTGTCATGGTGGCATTTGAGTAGAAGATTGCAAAAGAAATACTCCTACTCAGGTTGTCAGATCTGATTTTAATTATTCTCATGTGTTGGCAGTATTTGCATAGATTATAGAATTTAAAGTGAATCATCTTGTCACAGCTTCTCAAATATTTAGATCTTCCACTTACTTGTCAAGAACCGAAGGAATCTGGTAAACATTTTTCTGTCTCTTTCATGCTGCAATTGATGTCTTTTCTCTACTAAAATAATACTAAAGGAGTAGAGAACTTGAAGAAAATAATCTCTCACTCTCTGTGTGTGTATATATGTGTATATATATAGAAAAAAAAAATAACAACAACATTGAACTACTAACTGACTTGAAATTTTGAAGAAAAGTATAGAGATCTAGAAATAAGTGACAAATGGGGCAAAGCGTAACGTGATAGGTCATCCTTGACTAGCCAGATATATTTTAATATAAAACTAATTTTCTAGATCAAGGAAATGTAGTAGATTCTTTTGTTGTCTTTTGTTGTCACCTAACCTAAAAAAGAATTAGGAAAGATTCGTAGACAGGAGCCGCGCTTAAAATGTAAATTACGGGGCCAAAAGCAGTGAGCCTAGTGGGCTTCTTAAATGACTCATGAGACTTCAGTTTTTCTTGTTCTGATGGGAGCATAAAAAGTAGAAAGCTCTGATGAAATTTGCTGACAGTGCAGCGCTAGGAAACATATGGGGAAGACTGGGACATGTTGTAGTCATGATAAAGGCAGATTTGATTTTAGGATGTATTTATTTAAAAGTATTAATGACACTGGACAAGGCACTAGTAAAATCCCTCTGGAGTATCAGGCACAGTTTGCATTGTGGCTGTAATAAACTCAGGTGTGAGCAGCTGCACGGAAGGGTTGTGAGGTTGACCAAAGGAATGGTGTATCTAACAACACAGAGACTGCAAGAGTTGACTTGTTTAACACAATAGTTACTTAAACTGAAAGACCATTTTGACTTTAAAATACTAAATTGGCAATAAATGCATCTAGAATAGAAATTGGAATGCTTATAGTAGTCACAGGTGTGAAGTTCAGAGAAGAAAAATGTACCAGGGCTTAGAGTGGAGCTTGATCAGTTTTTGAAAGGGGTTATGTGGAGTGGTTCCCAGCAATAGAAGGGTGTTGCTTCTAGTTGTATGTTCCAAGTTCCTGTGTTCCAAGGTTATTTAATTGCCCTTATAGTGCAAGATCTCACTGACTTTCAGCATTATATCATTTCATGTAGTTGAAATACTAGGTGCTGAGAATGCTATAAATGGAACGTCTTTATGTGAAGCTCTGAAATCTTCGATACCTGATGGATGAATATCTGAAAGAGAGCATTTGTATGTTAACACAATCAGCCAATAGCTGTGGAGGCATGTACGTCAGGCCCTTGAGGGTCCCCCATGCTAATGATTTGAGTTGTTGCTCAATTCCAGCTGCACCTAACTATCTAGCAAAATGATTCTTTTCCAACATGTAAAGACATAAATTGAAAATTAGAAAAAAAATGGAGGTTGAATACTGTTCAAAAATGGTATTTTCTTTTTAGCTTCATGTAGATTTGTGTATGTAGGATACACTTGGAAAACAGTCTGGCAGCCTTCTGCGCCGTTTAGTGGTACCTACCATTGTCTAATGCGGCATCCAGATACATGTAGAAAGACGAGTTAATGGAAGAAGCTGATTGGTTTACCTGGCTCACCTGTAGGACATACGTCTCATATTAATCAGTACCTTTTTCATAAATAAAGCTTACTTTAAAATGATTGTGATCTTTATGGACAACCTGAGATGCCAGACATGTGTGAAATGATTTACAACCTGATTTAAAGTGCCTACTTTGTGAAGGTTATGTATAGCTGTAATCAAAAAGGAGATATCCCAGCAACAAAGCTCCGGGCTCTGGATTTAGATACTGCAGTAGAGTGAAGACTCCAGCATTAGGCATCTTTGGTCTCAACATGGTTAATGATTTTGAGGTGAGGTGAGGAGGCAAGTGATTTTGAGGGTTGATAGGGTCCTCACGTGCTAAACAGGCATCCCATAAGAAACAGTATGTTGAGTGATGAATCTAATTCCTCTCCTGCTTGTCAGGAACATGAAATTAGAGTTGAGGACACATGGAACATTTTTGTGTGCTTAGGATCCGAACTGCTGGGTTTTCCTGAGAGTATTTGAATTAACAAGGCTCTGTTTTTACGTGAGGGATAATACGCTATTTTGCAGGATGCCATGACAGTTATCTGTTAAATGGCAATTCCCTGGTTGCAGAGTGAAGAGATTTCAGCTGGGAGTACATCTGCAGAAGAGTACTCTTAACTGTGTGCAATAGAAAGTTGAGGCGTCTAAGAGGGTAGCCAAAGGGAAGATTTTTTTAATAAGCATTCTGGGCCACAGTGCAGCCAGGGATTCAAGATTCATGGGGCCCATGTCAGAAAGACAAAAAAGGGGGTTAATCTATAACCAGAAAATAAGACATTCGTCTAGGCAGGTGTGGATTTTCATCCGTGCTCTCAAGATGGTTTAGACATTTTATATCAGACTGTAGTGGAATTAAAACTAGAAACAATCTACAGAGTAGAAACGACAGTCTTGCCACCTTAGCTAAATTAACCACTAAGTCACAGAAGTTATGGTGTGCTCATGGGAATTAGAAATCCCCTCAGCGTGAGAAGGGATCATACCTACTCCTGCATGTGCAGCCTCATGGAGGGGTACATGCCATCCTCAAGACGCATGAAAAAGGAGGTTACCATTTTCCCCATGTCCTTCGCACATAACGTCATGAAGACATTTCACATGCCTCTGTGTATAGACTGGGAGACTTCTGTTCATAGCCAAGCAGGATGCTTTGTGGGCCAAACTTCAGGCATTTCAAGGCTACGCTTGACTCACTGTTGGAATTAAATACCTGAACTCTGTATAGGTTACATTTTAGGAACCAAAGTAGGAGATTTGATTCTTGTCCGTAATGAATAACAAAACAAGCAATTGCAAGGTAAGTTGTTTAGATTGTTTAAAATGACTGAAACTACAGATACTTGGTGAAAGAAATCCCATGTTTTTAGTGGGATGTTTAGTGTCTGAAAAACACATTTATATAATTAATTTTATTACCGCACATCTACCTCCTATAAAAAGCTTGTCTTAAAATGAAGAGAGGGCTGTAAAGTAAAGTTGGCAGATATTTGAAGCCAGGATGTTTTAATGTGTATTTAATTGTATGCATTTCCCGTTTTGGAAGAAGTTAAATAATTGCTTCTGTTTTTAAGAAGGATTCAGGGTTTTTTGCAACTTTATCATACAAATAATCCTATTATTTCAGTATTATGACTACTCATGTTCAGTAAGAACTGTATGTGCATTGTAGATCCACAGTCTTTTTATGCTAGCAAACACCATACAGCTTGCTCTAAAAAGAGAGGAGGAGGCTGTGTGTACTACTCTTCACAACAATATTCTGAGCTGCACTGTTGTCATATCAATGGTTCTTTAATGCCTTTCTTTAGATCCTGTTTTTTAAAAATCAGAAAATCTGCTTAACCGCTACTTTATAATGTTGCCTTGGCAGTGATATGTCATTATGTTTTGGGAATAATAATCAGTTATAAACTGCCCTGTTGATGGTTAACCGTGAAAGAGGAGCTGGGAGTGCCAGACAAAATGAGCATTCAGAGAGACAAACTGCATCTTTCAGAATGAATAATACTTGTATTATTTTAATGAAGAAAATGTTTATAGGATGACATGTATAAAAATGCAACACTGTTTCCCAGTATTGCTGGTTTATTTTAAACCAGAGCACATAAACAATAATTCTGCATTGAAGTGTGACCACATTCTATTTGGTGATGTTTTCTTTGGAAACTTAAGTGTCTTTTACTAGGAGAGGAGGGTAGACGGAAAATGGATTTTGTGCAATATACAAATAAAAACAATCTGTTAGTAAATCTATAAATATATTCCCTTTGTTTTAGAAAACAACAGCAATTTAAAATACTCTCTCAGTGGGGTGGCCTAAAATGGAAGGAAAATAAAAGATTTATTGTGGTCAGGGGGCATTCAGTCAATTGGAATTGACACCCCTGCAGCATTCAGCCAATTAAAGTGGGATGGGAGGATTAATAATCAATAGGTGAAATACACTTTTACTCAACAAGTAGATGAGCAAGAATGATTAATTAATGGTGTTTCATTTCATCCCAAGGTGTGCAGAAACAAGAGGTGGTGTGTAAAAGGCTGGATGACAACTCCATTGTACAAAACAATTACTGTGACCCTGACAGTAAGCCTCCAGAAAACCAAAGAGCCTGCAACACTGAGCCTTGCCCACCTGAGTAAGTCACTAATGTGTTTTGCATAGATAGAAAAGTCTTTGTAATCTATAATAAATCCTGTTGACCAAATGTGTATACAATTCTGATCTAGTGTTGGGGTCCTGTCTTACCAGACAGGATATTTGGTTTTGGTTTTTGGTTATGGTTTCTTGTTTCTCTGTAATCAGTTGTGGAAAATACATACTTTGACCTAGAGGAGGCCTGATTTGACTGAGGAACATTGGTGTTTAAACTACACAAAGCAGCTCAAACATTGTAAGTAAAAAGATACTAGCAAAGCAGTTCCTTAGGGTGTAAGTGTCAGATGTGGTGAACAGTGCTCAGAGTAGAACTTTGGGTTGAAGTGTTCACATGAGAAATGGCAAACACAGAAACTGCGTAGTAGACCAAACCATTTACTGATAATAGTTTTGTCAAACATCTTTCTTTCCAGGATACTCAGTGGTGTAAAGTAATGCTGTGTGCCTTTAGGATTAGGTGCCTACTTGGTTACGTCTATTTAGTTTTATTTTTAAAGATAGCTGTATGCTATATATTGAAAAGATAATTAAAAACACAGCAGCTCATTTGTTCAAAAATGAAATTTGGCAAGGACCTATAGCATAGCATAATCTTACTACAAAAGCTGTTTAGAAACAGTTGTAATATTTTGCAGTAGAAAATAATTTCAGCATATGCACAACAGCTCCTTATGTTTTGAGATAAATAAAACTTGTGGAAAAAATGTGGAAACAACAATTTATTGATTCACAAGCTCTGGTTAGTTTAAGTTTGGTGATAATCTGTAGCTATAGCTGTAGCAAATCTAATTGGACACGAAAATCATTAATGCTGATTAAAAAATGTAGATATTGCACAATAAAGAAATACTGTGGTGTCTTTTAAATGTCTCTTAGAAACTGTAAAATTGTAGCATGAAGGACACTGGGAGGAATGAGACAAGACTGTAATGCATTAAAATCCCAACAGGTCTTCATGAAGCCAGTTTCTTCCTAGAGTATCAGCTGCTTCCCTGGTGTGGTGACTGGTTGCAGGATGGCAGAGCAATGTCTTCTACACTTACTCCCCCTGTGTCATGTACCATACTCATTTGACATAAACAGAAGTGAAGCCATTACACTGCTCTCACCTTGATTGTGTTTGAATGTGAATGTGCTGTCTCACAAACAGGTCTAAAGTAGGTCTAAATCATTGTCCCCACAGTCTATGTGTAAATATATGTTTACCCTGCAAGGATGTGCACTTGGATTCTGTTTGGATAACACTGTTTAGCATGGCTATAAGTGCACTAACTAAACTCTCACACCATGTACCCGAGAGCAGAACTTGGGAAGTGGTCATGTTTGGTCAGTTCCTTTTTACCAAACACATCCCTATCTCTTCCTTTGTGTGGCTTAACTATTAACGAACTAGCACTTTAAAAAGTAGTGTTTACATAGTTATTCAAAACTAGTTTTTTTATTTTTTGCACTGACATTATTTAAAAAACAAAACGAAGAAAAAACCCCCAACCCACAAAGCGGGACACTTCTGGATTCTCCGTCCAGTACAGCAGGGACATTGATGAACATGGTGAAACTCAAATCATCAAGATCCAGAAAGTGGGTAGTGTGTGTTAATCAGCATCTGCTTGAATATGTCAGAGCAGTTCAGCCCACATCTGCCTCCATTCTGATGTTCCTCACAGGGTGAATACAAAATGCCAAACTCCTAAGGAAGGGTTCTTGATTCCTGATCCTGTAAGTAGTCTGGAAGAAGGCTGTTCAAATAACAGATAGTTACCCAAAGAAGTTTGACCCTTTTGGCTGGAAGATTTATCACCCAGGAAGACTTACTCTTTACATAGAGTAAGCCAAGTATTTCCTTTTTTAATTAACACAATTCCGCTTTCCTTGTGGTGTATACCAAAAGTTATGAAAATGTTACTCTTTCTAACTGAATGCCAGTTACATTATATTTGATGTCACTGAGCAGCAGCAAAGACTGTATTTATTCACAATATTTTGTTTGTTATTACAATAAGTAACTCTTAAAGTTCCAGATTTCAAGAAATGGTACAGGTAACTGTCATAGTTCTCATGAATTATGAATAGTACTGTCTTGTCATACAGTATAAACATAAAGGTACCTGAGAATGCATTTGAGCAAATCACACTGCCCACTAAAAATTAACACTTCAGCCTCTCCAAAGCAGCTTCTAATTCTCCCTACTGTGGTAAAAGTGTAAGTTTGGTGGTGAAGAATCATGAATTAATTCTCTTTTGCTGGGAAATTAATGACGGAATATGGCATATTTGTTTGCATCTCTGCATTGATCTAGGTTCATATTAGGATATATTACACATTCTGTAACACAAGACAGGACAGCAGTACATTTATTTTGACAGAGGCTTCAGAAAATGACAAATCTTATGACGCAGCTCCAAGCATACCTCCAGGAACATCCACAGTGACTGACATGCCTGGCATTTTTGGCATGTTGGCAACATGTGATAGCATACTAAACTTCACCTTCATCCTTTGCAAGGATGATTCAGGCAAGTGTATCTAATCAACATATGAAATATTGAAGACCAAATGTGCTCGAGATTTCCAGTCAATTGAGCTGCATTAACCATTCATCAGTGGGGGTGTGGGGGGGAACATTACAGCCAGATTAACAGCTGCTTTAATCTCTGCAGCAACACAAAGTAATCTAAATATACTGTACAACTCCTGACTTTTACTATATACACGCAAACACTCAGAAGTTCCTCCTAGCAGCTGTCATGCAGTACTTTAAATTTTTTAAATATTTGTTGAGGTCATTATTTTATGTGATGAATTCATGTTTTACTAGTGTTAGCTTTACTTACTCTAATAAATAAGAATATTTTGCTTTTCAGTATAGCCTTTTATAAAAAAGTTTAGAAATGTTTCATAATCAGATGTGAACTCTCAGAAAGCTCAATTTTGAGATAAAATTATTTTACTGTAATGGACCTAGAGAGACAACCATCTTGGCTTTTAACTTGTGCTGTAACTTACAGCAGTGGTTCCCAAACATTTCCAGTTGCAAACCACTTTCGGAGAAATAATTTCAGGCAAGTCCAGTACAAATCTACTTAAATAGCTGCAGTTTTGTCAGGGTCAACACTCCTTTCTAACTGCTATAGCCTCGGCTGGAAATTGCTGCTCTAGAAAAATACAAAGTAGTATTATTATTGGAAGATATGATTGCAGTGAGACATAAATTAAAATGTTCAGTAAAAAGACCCATAAGTTTCTACTTTATTTCACCATGAATACATGTATTGTTAACAATGAGTTAGGTTTAGTAATTTAAATTATTTGGATTCTGGGTTTGTGCAATTTCTACTCTGTTTTTGAAATGCATTAACTGAGTCTTCTAACTTTTTCTATCCAGATGGTTTATAGGAGATTGGTCAGAATGCAGTAAGACCTGTGATGGAGGAATGCGTTCACGAACAGTTCTTTGTATCAGAAAGATTGGACCTTCTGAGGAGGAGACACTGGACAATACCAACTGTTTAACGCACCGGCCTATTGAAAAAGAGCCCTGTAACAATCAGTCCTGTCCCCCACAGTGGGTTACTTTGGACTGGTCAGAAGTAAGGAAATTTTGCTATGTTAGCTCATTGGTAATGGTGGAGACAAGAGCTCTGATCACTGAATATTAGTACATTTTCTATTGCTGCTTGCTAAGTAAAGGATTAATAAGAAATTCAAAACCTCATAAATTTAGTATTGAAGCAGCTTTTTCTTTTTTCTTTTCTTCTATGTTGTCAGTTCTGTTGTTTTGTTGAACATTTGAACAATTATGACCTTGTTTTATTAATCGTAGTAGGAAAATACTAAAATACGAAATAGAATAGTAAAGTCGTAAAAAAACCCCAATGAAGCAAAAAAACCCTAGAATAGCCATTTGGTATGAGATAATTGTCTTAAAGAAAAAAGCAATTTCCATTTCCATTGTTTTTTGAACAGGCAAGTAGCTGGATAGTAGAGATAGTGGGTTTACAATATCAGAAGCCAGAATAAACTGCTTTTTTTTTTTTTCTGAAGTAACCATGCTGATTAAAGCATCACCTTTCTTAGCAACATGCCTCCAGAGGCATGAAAGTTGATACTCTCTTTATTAAAGAAAGAACATCTTTCATTAAGTATCTGTTATATTATAAGCCAAGTTTATACTATACCTTGTTCTGATTGAAGTATTAAATTTGAAGAATGGGAACCAGTGCAGCTGAAAGGAAAGGCAGATACATTTGAATGGGACTGCATCATAGGCATATCAGAGTGCAAAAATGTCTGTATACTTTTTCAGATCCTTGCTCTCCGGGACTCCCATCTCACCCCATTTTTTATCTCAAAGTACCCTTTGGAGTACTTACGAGTTAGGATTTCCTGAATTTCCATGTCTGTGTCCTTGCTGTCAAATGCAGCCGTATTATATAATTGCTTTCATAAATTGATTAAACTATGTTTTAAAATGAGTTAATTTGGTGGTTTGTCCCACTGCTTCTTGGAGAACTATTCCAGAACTTCAATCTTTGAATTGCAGGAAGTGTTCTAATGTTCTAGGTCCATTCCAGTTTATGCCTGTTTGCTTTTGTTACCTGAAACAGCTATTGTTCCTATCTTCCTTTCCAGCTATTGTTCATCAGAAATGAATAAATCTTGATCACATTCTGCTTTCATGTTTCAGTTTGAAGTCGTCTTTTTGGGAATGGATAGCTCGAGTTAAAAGTATTTATTATCCCTGAGGAGGTTTCACATATGCCTCATTCTTTTGTTTCCTGCCTCTACTGAAAATACCCATAACCTACAGTGTATCAGTAGACCCTAAATAAGCTTCTTCTGTTCCACAGCTATCACACATTGATTACGTAAAGTCATCTTACACTCTCTTAATATATCCAGATCTTTATCCTCCTTTTTTCATTTCTTGGTTGGTTGTTTTTTTTTTTTTCTTTTTTCTTGAAATGCGTGCTCTTGCATGTCAATCTGCCAAAATTCACTTCCTTTCAATTATTAGTGTCTTCCTGGTTGTCCAGCTCTTTCTGTAGAGCATACCTCTGTAGCATCAAGGTCAGTTAGTTACCTGTGCTGTCTGCTAGTTTCAATAATTTCAGAAACACTGAACAACTGAAACTACTTTTGTATGAAGTAGACTGAAAAGAAATATGAATCAGGTCAGTCCTATGACTGATCCTAGAAAGTCTTTGCCGGTAACATCTCTGAAATCCTAAACTTTACCCAGTTGTCATTCCCCTTTCAAATACTTTACTGAAGCCCAGGTAGGTTAGGGCTGTTGCACTTCTTTTGTCTAAAAAAACGAAAGGAGACTCTATTAGAATAAACTGGAGAGATTTACCAATGATACACCCATGATTCATTGTATCCCATTGTCTGTGTACTTGCTTGCCTTTAAACAGTCTTTCATTCAAAGTGAGTGATAAATCTCTGGATACTATAAAAAAGGTTGATATGCCTGTCGTTGCACAGATCTCTTCTATGCAGATACTTTTAGCTCCAAAAGTTGTTACAGTTTCTGGAAATTCAAAGCATAAAGAAGGAAGCCTACTAGCAGCACTATGAGCACTCGCAGCAGTGGTACAGAACAGCTGTTACCATAATTTGTTAATACAGGTAATATAATTCACTAAATCACAGAATGGTTGAGGGTGGAAGGGACCTCTGGAGGTCATCTTGTCCAATCCCCTCTGCTCAAGCTTTTATTATTATTATTATTATACACATTATTTTTCTTTGAACAAAAGAAAAAGGTGTCATTTTGCTGTACTGTTCAACTGGTTTTGTTCTGTAAGGAATTATGAATGAAATGCAATTTAAGTGAGCTTTTACATCAAAGAAAAATCTTCTAAAATATAATGTGAACTTCTGAAATTTTTTTGTTCTCATTAATTTATCAGACAGATGCTTTTGCTTATATTCTGAGTCTCCTGTTATTTGTACCAGGTTTTGTTAATATTCCACTATCGTAAAACAGATAAGTCATTCCCAGACTGTACCTCAATCTGTCTCTAGTTTATTCAGTTTAAGATAACAGGTATTTTTTTGAATCAGTTGTATAAAAAGCTGTAGCTTTATACCCTGAAACCTGTAGAAAAGTGGTTTCTTTCAGCAGCTTTTCTCAGTGTAGATCAGGACCTCAAGAAACCTAGAAATGGCACAGTGAATCTTAAAGTGTGTGTCGTTCTACATGCAGAACAATATTTTTTTACCCCACTGTTAGCCAGCATTTCACACAAGAAGTAGGGCATCAAAATCAAGGCAGAAAAGGTATTAAATAGTCCTTGTCCCTACCTGAAAAGGTGTATTCCAGCCCTTTGAAAATGAATCTGACCTAGAGCAGCAAGGAAAGGAGTGAGAAGGAAAGAATGGATAAGTGGGAGGGGATGTTCAGTTGAAGACTCTATCATACCACATCTGTGGCATTGATAGTTTGTAAGCTCTTTGCATCCATTATCACAGTACTTTATTTCCAATTGGAGTATATAGGCATCATCTCAGTACTAACAAATAATAGTATCCATATGACAAGTTACAGAGCCATAGGTATATGTCGCCTATATACTATTGCCCTTTAACTACCTCCTCGGGACATTGCTCACTAATACATCATCCTTAGAGCTATCAACATTGCCACCCTCATAGGAAGCTTGAACAACTTTTCAAGGCCTTCATATCCAGCCTTTTATACAGCAGGAGCATGTTAGAATTTTGAATAAAATCATTCTAATGTAAAGATTCAAGCTCTGCTGAGATTCTGGTTGTGATGGTATTTAATCAGGATTGTGAAAAAGTGCCGACTTCTTTCTGGTATGAATTCTGCTTGCTGTAGCTTGGCAAACTGTCTTGACTGATGACACCATTTGAATATACTGAGATTCTCAAATAGCTTTTTTTTTCTGTTCAGGGTTCCCAGAAATAGAATGTATTAAAATCCCTATAGTATATACATACAAACATTTATACATACGTATTTATATGATTTTCTGACAGAAGCATGAAAAATGAAAACGAGTGAACTCAAAAAGTGAAGAGTTGAATACTGCTTCCACTGAAACCAATGGCAAACCTTGCTACTTTTCTCTGGAATGCAAGTTCTAAAGTTTTATTTTCATAATCAAAACTAGCAATATGTGATACAAATTAAACAATTATAGAACTCTCATATGCTAAGGCACTTGTTGAGCATCAATATAGTTACACATTTTTTTAGTCTTCAATGATATTAATAAGAAATTCTGTATCTTTATGGTCAGAGAAACAAAAACATTTTGTAAACATAGAGATTAAATTAAGTCCTTAGGAGAATGTAAAAGTGCTTTTATCAAATAGTAATTAAAGCTAACAGTATCTTGCCCAGTGGAATGTAGTCATTCTTGGGTAACGTCAGTTTTGCCATAAAATTTTTCACGCTTTGCGATAGTTGAGCTTTGACTGAAATTATTCTGTCCACTGTAAATTACTTCTTTTCTATTTTTCCAGATAGTAAAATAAACTGGCAGAAAATAATCTAAGGATTTCTTGGGAAGAGCTTTACCAGACAAGCACACTTACTTTGCATTCATATTACCGTTAGTCATGACTTCCACTGAGTGAGTCAAAAATTCTAGAAGCATTTAATAATGGAAGACATTTCTTCCTGTTTTTGTTTGTCTGGGTATTTTGTCTTGTATTTGCTTTGGAGACATACATTCTTTGTTGAATTCTATTGATGCTTTCTATTTTTGGTCATTCAGTATTGTTGTAGGCAACCTATTTCCTTACTTCACTTTCATTTCTGGGGACAGGGTGTAGTCCGTCTTATTTAGTGGCTTAGACATAGATAAAAGAACGTGTCTTCAAGCAGGACTAGAAAATGGACGCACCTAAACTCAAATTTTGATCCTCAAACTCTTGCTTATTTGCTAACACATTTTAGAGATTATGAAACAGCATAGGCACATTGGGTTTTGACATTTTTGACAAGGTCCTTTCAACTTAATCTCTTTTCTGTTTGTTTTTGACAGAATGCTTAGTCACTGAGAAGAAAAGGTTGAGTGCAAGTCATTTTTAAGCACTCAGCTAGGAAGGGGCACTTGCTTCTGGTTCCTGCTTAAATGTCATGCATTTTACATGAAATATTTGTGGGAGAAAGTACATGCAACATTCCATGGAATTTGGACCAGAACTGAGGAGTCATGATCATGATGCTGAAGACCTCACATATTCGTTGTCATTCTTTTTTGGTCTCTATTTAGCATTAATACTCTTTTTGCAGTTCAGCCAGAGAGATTGAGATCTTTCTTCTCTTACTTCCCTCCTTCCCCTAGTTTTCTAGTAGGCAGGTACTTAGGCTACACAAGATTTGGGGTTAAAGCCCCTTCAATATGAGGACGATTGAACCTGGCTATTCTGTATCAGAATTCTAAATGCTGAACTACTGTAGATAAAGAGGCAGTACCTTGATAGGAAAGGATAGAATAGGATAGGAATGGAAAGGTTAAATTTTAAGGAACGGTTAAATTTTAAGGAAAGTGATTATATACCCAGTTCTGGATAATAAACTCCAAATGCAGGACCCATCTCTTTGCAGTCCAGTTTAAGAATCTAAATCTAAGCAGAGATAATATTTAGGATAAACCTGTCCCTTCTGTATTGACTAGTTTAGGTGGCTCCCACTGAGAAATTTTCTTAAAGATCTTGTTTTGAGGTATATATATACTGGGAATATCGATACCTTACATAGCACTGTGGAACTGTTTTAAAATTTCTTTAAGTTATGCAGAGATAGTTCAGGGTTAGGCATAAAACAGTAAAGTTTGGATCACTGTAGTAATTTTTTTGAAAATGAATCTTAGGGGTTTTTCTTTTTTCCCCAGTAATACACTGACTTGTTTTGGATGTGTAGAAGGCCTTTGGTGTGCGACCTTCAGTTCCACATAGTATTATTTCCCAGATAATGTTTTGTCCCTACAGCTGCTTTCTTATGAAAGGCAGTTCTACTCTTGACAGGTTTAGCATGATCTGTATGTAAGGTTTATGCTATCAGAAACTGATTCTGGTCCAAATACTGCAGATATGCTTATGGGGTAAGGGTTAACATGCCCATAGAGAATTCTAAAACTGTGCTTGCAAGATCTCCTGGTCAGATATTAAAGAGGGACTGATTTAGGGAGGTTTTTGAGTTTTAATTTTGTTAGCACTTCTCTATTCCCCATTCTGCAGTTGTGCTAATGTAAATGACAGTTAATAGTCAGTAGCAAAAAGGAAGGAGAAAGAGGGGGGACAGATGAAGAAAGAGGAGGAAAAGCAGAGGTCATCAGACCTGCTTCTTTTCAAATTACTGTTTTATTATCTGCTTGCTGTTAGAAATGAGCAGAGTAGTGATAAAAGGAGGAAAAACAAGAACTGTGTGAAAACAGAATTAAAATCTAATTAGGAAAGGAGAGAAAAGCATACATTGTAGGAGAGGGCACAGTATTTCTATCTGAATAGTCTGGTTTCTATGGAGTCCAGTAAAGCATTTATCTTCCCATATGTTTATTGAGGAAAAAAAGTGTTCATTGTAGCTCAGTAGTCTGTAAGTGAGGTGGCGAAAGACTGTACTAAGGTTATATTAAGAACAGAGGGTTCTAATTTCTGAAATGCACATTCAAATTCGTTTCGTAACAGTGCTACCTGTGGCAGACCTTTCTACTTTGCTAAGTGCTTTTCTTAAACCTAACTTCAAGGCTCTTATATATAAAAGTAAATACCAAAAAGTAACACCATAGCCTAAATATAAATAGCAAAGGAAATCTACTTTTATCAATTTAAAACTTACAAAACTTGACCTTAATAAAGCAATCATCAGTCAACTTGTTTGTGTTTCTAAACATTTTAAAATTATCATTATCCTCTTGGGAAAATGGTGATTATAGTTTAATTGTAAGACCATGAATATATTCTCCTGTTTTCCATAATAACATTTCTGACACTTCTACCAGCTTTTTAATGAGATTTTCATTATTTATTTATATCAATATTTTTTCAGTGCACACCGAAGTGCGGCCCAGGATTCAAACACCGAATTGTTCTGTGCAAAAGCAGCGATCTTTTAAAAACTTTTCCAGCTGCTCAATGCCAAGAGGAAAGCAAGCCGCCAGTCCGCATCCGCTGTAGTTTAGGCCGGTGTCCTCCTCCTCGCTGGGTTACTGGAGACTGGGGACAGGTAAGATGGTTCATATATGTATTTATTGCTGTTAATCTCCTACGCATTAGCACCTTCTAAGGATAAGATGTTGCTGGAAATGGGTAAGAGATGTTCCCATGATTGAAACAAAAGCTTCTCCCCTGTTTGTCTCAGATTGAAATGTGATTCTGAATGATAGTTGTCTGCTGAACTATAAAGGATTTGCTGACAGCAATCTAGTTTCTGTATGCATTTTTTAAAAAATTAAATAGTCCTTATTACAGTTTGTTTGGAAGGGGATTTTGGGATGCAGCAACGTTACAAGGTGTAGTATTTTTAAAACACATTTAACTTCCTTGAGAAACATGACAGAAATACAAAGCCAGTTGCTATTTTATATAAGATATATATCTATAGCCACCAAAAAAACTTTGAGATCTGTATAATTTTACATAAAATACACTGAATTATGAGACAGGGAGCTAAATTGTTACAGGACAGGCTGAATAGTGCTGCCATTATGCAGCGTTTCTAATTACGATATACTATACTGACTTTGTTCTTTCTTTATGTTTTTGCATCTCAATTGTGATCAATGGCCTGTTTTTAAAGTAATAATGTTTCAGTTTCTAAGTTTGCTGAGTCGTTTGCCACTAAGGAAAATAAAACACTTTAGCTTAACTAACCAGGGGACAATCATTTGTGGTATTACAGTCGAATCAGCTTAGCTTTTATAGTAGTTGTTCAGATGCGCGTTTATCTTAAATTGATATTGTACTAATACCTCTGCTTAGTTACAGAAATTAAAAAATGTTTTGAGACAGCAAAGCTGAAAGATAGTTTCCTCTTTCCTTAAAAAAATGTCCTCTAGGAGATTTGAATTTTTGTTCTCCTTGTTTTTCTTCTTTATTCTAAAGTGATTATTTCTCTCTTGAAAACATGCACTTAAACTCAGACATGGTATATGAAGTAGTGTAAATTATATTCTTATACCTCAGATCTGAACTGTTCAGGGAGCCAACATTGCATTGTGTTTTATTTTCTTTGAAAGACAAGTGCTCGCATATAGTGTCAAAAAAGAAAAATTCTAAACTATTTTATGAAAATTATTTTCTGTATTAACCAAATCTCTTCAGACACCTGTCGTCTTTAAAATTTGTGCATGTGTACTATTCCTGATTGCTTTCCTGTTATCTTGTTTTATATTTAAAAATTGGATCCAAATTGTTTTACTTTTTTATCTTTCTTATTTTTAGTGTTCTGCACAGTGTGGTCTTGGGCAACAGATGAGAACAGTACAGTGCCTCTCATACACCGGACAAGCATCCAGCGAGTGTCCAGAAACACTTAGACCTCCATCAATGCAGCAGTGTGAAAGTAAATGTGACAGTACTCCCATTTCCAACACAGAAGGTAAGTTTGCCATCTTAATATAATTATTCTGGAAAGAGTAAAGTGACATGGTCAGTATTACTGCATTAATTTATTAGTAGAAGTCTACATGACATCATTTCTCAGACTGTGAATGAATTTTTTATAATTATTTTCTAATTAGTCATTGTAGTTCAAAGGTGAAGTCAATAAAAACCTAAATACAGGTTCTTTGTTTAAAAAAAACACTCTTAAAAATATATAGCCTAAGTCATGGACAAAATACTATTGTTTTGTGTCATTAATTTTCCAGTCTCTTTATTGGTTCAATGGAAATGTCCATAATAGCAGAGGGAACATGATATACTTCTCATCCACTGACCTTCTACCAGCTCCATCAGTGGTTAACATAACAATATAGTGGCAAAAATAGTTAATTACATGTTAATTGAAAGACTGGGACCACTGATTTAATGCTACATGGTGCTACAAGCCTGTTCTTATACTTTGACTTACTTGTCAGCTTCTAATTAATTTTTCATTTCTTGAATTTATAATGTCTGTTTGAAATAATTACAGTATTTTTTACATGATACAGTCTAATTTAATCAGACTATTAACTAGTTCATCATAACATATTTCTGCTAGAGGATATATTAGATAATAGTGGTTCCAGATCTGAACTCATAAATTGTCCATGCCAACATTTGCGGAAATGCTGTCTTCAAAGTAGAATTGGAGTGCTAGGCAGTAAAAAAAAAAAACTTTCCTCATTGATTGTAAAAATTTAGGGTAGTTGCTCACCACTCTACTCTATATTTTATTTTGTGTGGAAGGGGAAAAGGAATGAAAAATTACCAAAACACACATGTCCAAAAATCAAGAAAGATTGCACAGCAGTAGTAGTTCTTTTAAAACAGTTATTCCCTAAATTTTGATATTCCCTAAGTTTCGAGTACTTGACCACAATGTCACTAACACTGCTCCTTTTAATAAAATAATCTCTATGCAGTATATAATGGAATATCTTTTACACAGGTTCTCCAACTGCATTAGAGTTTAATATTCTATTTATATGGAACAAATAACTCTGATTTTAAATTTAAAAAAAAGGCAAATTTATGCCACAGTGTGCCCTGTTTGGTGTTCATTCAATACCTACTGTATCCAGGTTCACACCATAGATTCAAAGTTATCATAAAAGTCTGTCAAAGATGTCTGTGATGAAGAAGGAGCATACTAAAATCTTCCCAGAAATACACTGATGATTCGGTGTATAATCACCGTAATTTACTGCTTGGAAGTTTTAATTTTAAATAGAGGCTTATCATTCCATGTTGTCATTTGAAAAACATCTTCATAATAGAATTTTCTTTGGTTATTTTAATTCCCATTTTTATGTTTAGTGCTCTCAAGTAATCTTTACATGATGATTATCAATCTAGGAAACTTTATGCCCTTTAAAGCTCAAAGGCTAAATGATATTTTATTTCCAAACACAGATGTTGACTTTTTCCAAAGTGAGGAAGGTAATAAAGTACTTGTAAGTGGGCATGATTTAGTCCCAGTCTTCTCTTAATTTCAGGATGACAAGGTTGTATTGTTACTTATAGTCATTACATTAGTAATGCTTCAATATTTTCAGGAAAATATGCTAATCTCCTATAGATGAATACTATCAGGGGTTTTCTGTGTGTGATCTATGTACATTGGGTAGCAGTGGAACTGTGCAGGGTAACTATGAAAAGTAAACATGTTGGTAATAGTGTTTTTCAGGGACCTACACCTTCACTGGAAAATTTTTGGGATCCACAAATAGAAAATGTTGAAAATCACTTACATAGTATTCCAGATGGACTTCAGCTCTTTGGCCTGTACTCTGAATGCGCCAGGCGTGAGCCAGCTCCTTACTGACAGCCATGTAGCCTCATTAGCGCAGTTAGGAAGAATCAACGGGAAAAAAATACAGCACAATCTCTTCCAGCAGATACAGTTCCCAACACGTTGCTACTTAGCATCCCATTTTTGCCTATGTTTATACTTACATTGAAGGTATTTACTGGAAACCACTGATTATTTGTAAGTGATTAAGTGGCTCAAATGGCTCAAAAGTCAATGTAATCTCAAAGTTCATTTAACACTGAAAAATACCTACATCCTTTCAGAAGAATCTTGCAGCAATCCATGAAATGCTAAGGGTGCCCTATCCCAAAACTAGACAAAAATTTTGTCTTCAAGGTATTTTTTCATTACAAGAAGGACAAACTGAGGGTTTGCAGAGTAATGTGCATGTATTGCACATTTTCTGCCTTAAAAAAGTCCTCAGACACAAAAGGAGGTGACATCTCTTGTGTTAGTAAAGCGTTAGCCTTTAAACAGAGAGGCATACCTTTTTCAGCATACTAGAGATGATGGAAAGCTTGTAAGATTTCAAGAACTAATTAATCCTAAAGAGCACAACTGTTTTTGGAAAGATACTACTTTCTGAGAAAGAAATATTTGAGTTCTGGTATTTGCTTGTGAATGTATTTGTGAGAGGGGCATACTGTGCCTGTGCACTCACTTCTGTCTCTCTCCGGGTGCAGTGGGATGTGAACTGCGTATCAGTATTTGGGTTTCAGGGAAGGAGTCGGGTCTCTCTGAGGGAGGGTTCTGTCCCTTGGGAGTGCATGTGCGTAGCAGAGCATATCTGCTCGCTCGTGGAGACTTTGTCCGCATGGCGCCTAGCAGCACTGCCTCGTGCTTTGGGCCCCACTGCAGGGCAAAAGCAACTTCAGCAACAGGTCGTTGGTTTGCAGCAGGGTCAGACTAGCTGAGGGGATTCCCTTCCTGCGTCAAACCCCAGCAAACCTCCTGATTCCCTTCACTTGCCAAACTCCAGAACTTGCAGCCTACAGAACCCATTCAGCCATTTCTGGACAATTTAATTTTGCTAACCCAAGATAAGAACATACATGTTTTTGAGGAAGCTTGAGACACTCTGGAGTATAATGATCACGTTGGTAAAGCTTGGAAGCACTTTCCTGGGGAAAGTACGGGTTGTTTACGTAAAACGAGTCAAAATTTTGGGGATACAGAAACATTAAAAGAAAGTTGTGATATATCTTGTTACATTTTACACTGCTTTAGCTCTTTGTTTTCTTTAAACTCTTCATTGGTGATTTAGGATATTGTAGATGGGATTTTGATGTACTGCCACTGATAAGGTAACATTGCATTTGCTGCTGGAAGTGAACTACAGGCAGCATGTACCACACGATTTGAAATGTATTCAGAATTATTTTTTGCTCTTAAGTATATATATGTCTGCTGAATCTAGACTGCTAAAGGCCATCTGAACTTTTCCTGAAAAACTATTTTATCTATTTTTATATCATTTCAGTTTTCCTTGTATTTTGTGTGATATGTCTTTGCAGTCTCTTTAGCTGAAGGCATAGTAGCATTCTGTGATTTTATTACTGTAACATGATACTTAATATTGTAATATTGTCTGATCTAGCGACAAAGTTCAGGAAGGGAGAGTTTAATACATGTAGCTTACTGAAACTTATTAACAGTAGTTACTAGGAACAAAAAGGGCTCTGCTAAACCTCTTCCATTCAACCACAGTCCTATGAAGAATAGGCTACTTCATCAGCCACCATATCTATTTCAAAACTGATTTTTAAAGCAGAAGTTGTGGGCAACTTCCAGAATACTGTCTCACTGCTGTCCAAATGGCATTGGCTGAGCAGGGTCCAGTTTTAGTCAAGAGGAAGAATAATTTAAAGAAACATGAAATAGGATAATTTCAAATCCTACTTTTAGCAAAAATGCAGTTAGTGGCTTTACCCGTATTTAAGTAAATACAATGTGCATGAGGGTTATTTTTGGGATTGAGTGAATTTTTTACATCGCTCAAGATCAAGTAAACCTTTTTATTCCTCACTTCATTTATAATTCACCATCTGTCTCTCCTATATTCCCAGTCTTCATAAACACAAGGACCTGAACTATTTCTGGAAAATATTTGACCTCTTTTGGGAAGAGTTTTTGAAACTCAGTGAAACACAGTGACCATGTGTGGTTGCTGATAGAGAAATATGTCTGTTTCAACCAGCTACCCCCAATGTCTTTTCTCCTGCCATCCAACTCTGTTTCCAAATTGAGAATTAAAAAATCAGAAAAGTAGTACATAAAACATGAGGTAGGTGGAGTAAAAAAATTACAATAAAAGCACTATACCTGTGTTAATGAAATGACAGTTTAAATCATTTCATGACCTCTACTTATCTAGCTAAAAGCATGCACATTGCCATTATCAGAAATACTGTTCAGTACAGACCCTGAAGTTCAGCCTCACTAATGCTTTCCTAGGTTCAAATACTGAAAATTCTTATCTCCATTTAACTTGTTACTACAGTATGCTTGCAGTGTGAACACACTGTCCATAACTACCTGTTCCAGAGAAAAAATAATGTACTAGGAGATTGTATGTAGAAGGAAGACAAATGGGAGTAGCTGAATGATTGTACGTGCTGATTGTGTTTGTTTCACTTGTACATTTTTTTTTCTTACCTGTTTGGTGTGTCTATTGTCTCTTTCATATTTGGCTTACAGACATCTTGCAGTCAAGGACTGTTGTTCTGTCAGGCCTTGGAGCAACAGTGTCCTGGCCTCCAGTCTTCACTTCTAGATATCAAACCAATACAAAATACAATAATGGTCAAAGTACTGCTACTTCATCTCCTTTTTGTTCACATTTTCTTTATAGCTGTTGTAATTTGAGAAAGATTGTAGGAAGAAGCCAGTTTGAAATACAACCTTAAAAGAGTAAAAACTTGCAGCATTCTTTTGAGACAAATAATTTTCTGAGAAATTAATCTAACTTCATTCTTCCCATCACTTAATTTTTGTAATTCAAACTTGTGTGTTTTACTTTTTCTTCAAATACATCTCTTCCATCTTCCTACATGTGAGGCAAAGCTCCTTGCCAAAGTCCTATCTTAGTATCAGTCTGGAAGGAACTGTGCAAATGTTTTAAACTAAAAATCCCCTATCAGGCATCTATCGCAATATTCACTCCAGTGCAAAGGAAATCTGCAGCAGCCATATCTGAGCTATAGAACCTGAGTGTACCCCTGAGCTTTCAGATTCAGCTGTATCTCCAGCTATATCACAATAAGAACTGAGTGTGGACCAAACTATTCCATTCCCTATTCCCACCTTCTTTCTGCAGAAAGGAAATTGAGCCAGAGGAGAACCACAGCATATTCCTGTAGTGTGCTCCTGTAATGTACCCCTACAAGTCACATTAGATACAACCTGTGTGGTATGGAAAAGAAGGAATCCTTTCTCTGCGTGTTTGAGCTCGTTCTCCCTTCCTGGGAGAGTTACGTGCCAGTATGACAAGGGCTGCTGAGGCAGTAAGCTCAGCATATAGGGAAGACAAAACTATGAAAAAAAGCTCTTACATGTCTATCACAGGCATAAAAATGGCTTTTCCTCCTGCATAAAGGAAATTGTGGATGTGTGGAACCAAGCCTAAAGTATAATCCACCATTCAGTCTAGTCACTGAGCTCACACTGTTGGTGCCTTTATTCATAACACTTGTTGTTTTCTCCATCCCTGTTTGCTGCAATGCACATTCTATTTCAAGGATTCTTATAAATGCGGAGGCATGGTACCAAATAGCGCAAATCGTGTTAGGTTTTGGATAACCTCTCATGGATGGATAAAATAACTCCTGAGAAAGAAGCTATAAAAGTATTGTAAGAAAAATGACTTACATTTTCTAGCTGTGTAAAGTGATCATTTATCCCAATAAATGATAATTCTTCCAAGACAAAGTGGGCACATTTCTAAATGTCTGGGAGAGAAGCCCTGCAAACATTTTTATGGCTTTTTAAAATATATTGTGTGCACTAGGCGGGACTAGAAAGAGTAGTTAACAAAGAGGGCAAGGTGGATAGATTGAGAAGCAGCATGTTAAATGTAAAATTTTCTTTGTACTTTAATTTTTATTTCTGATTTTTCCTCTTTAATTCTCTTAATTATTAGAGTGCAAAGATGTGAATAAAGTGGCATATTGCCCACTGGTGCTGAAGTTCAAGTTCTGCAGTCGAGCATACTTCAGGCAGATGTGCTGCAAGACCTGCCAAGGACACTGACCCACAGAAAGCATAAGAATGTGCCTTGTTATTACCATTGTGGAAAAGTGTCCATCGAAGAGGACCACACAGCGGAATGAGATTGACGTCCTTGCAAATGCATTACCCTGTGGAAAACGTAACCACTGGTCAGCCCCAGCTGACAGGATATCAATATTATTTTAACTTCTGTGAAGTGGGATTTATTAATCCAAAGTGCTGGACACAGTATAAGGAGGGCATGCCAAATTGGAAAGATCCACACAACACATATAGAATAGCTTACTGTGGAACATTTGTGTTCTTTTGACTAAATCAAATAGTCTGTTTACCTCCTTGGACCATTAAAATAATTTTTATTATGGACTTAGCAATGACACTGAATCCATTTGTATTTAAAACTGTTTAAAATGTAGCTGTTATGACTTGGTCTACTATGGAAGTAAAAAAGAATCAAAAAAATGTTAAGTCATACATTAAAAATGTTAACTATTTTATCTCACGACACAGCACCACAATTTAAATTATAAAATGATCTTGGAAATGTTATTTAAGGAGCAGAAATTAAAAAAAAAAAAAAAAAAAGTATTTTTCCTTCATTCCACCTAATTCCCTTTGGAGTAATCCATATTTCCTGAACACTGCTGTGAGCCATGTATAAAGCTATACTAAATAGAACTACCATGAGGGACTTAGTTTTAAGAGGTGCAACAGTTATTGCAGTGGTGCATGAAATACAAGTGTGCTCTGAAATGAAATGAAATCTGTGTTGCAGGTTTAGAGCCATCTTATCATTGTACAAGTGAAGCTGAGATTTCCTCTGAAAGGGAACATATTTCAGTATCATGGAGGAGGCAGACTCCAACAGTGGTGAAGACTGTATTGCCAGCTCCTTCACTACTACCGTACAGGTTGCTTAGAACTTACACTTTGACTCCAGCTCACTTTTGTTTACAACACCAGCCACAAAGAAGAAACAACTTTGTGGGCATCTAGATCTGGTTTACATGTTACTTTTGATTCTCCATAACTAAGGAATTCCAGTGCAAAAGATAAGCCTACTGTGTAATAGCAACCATCCTTTGCAAAGCTGAAAGTTAAAATGAATTCCAGATGTTCCCTTCTTTGATACCACAGCAAGAGGACATTTGTTTATGAGAAAGAATATGTGAATGTGTAGTTCAGGGGACCACATTCGAGTGGGCAAGGATTACAGCCAAAGAATAAATGACTCATGGAGGTATCTAGGTTCTGTTCAAATGAGAAGTCAAAAGTGTGCTTGAGCCAAGAGGCCTGTTGGACTATCAGGAGTAAGGCACACTGGAAGAGGGGTGGCTAGAATGAAGTCTGGCCACCTTCACCTAAATGGCCAGGTACATATTTAAAGCTGGACCATATTTAAAGCTAGGGGCAGCTTTCAGCATGAGACTGGATTAGTAGCTAGATGCCTTAACTATTCTGCTGCCATACTTCACTTATTTCATATTACCATATTTTTAATATTCACCAAATACTTTGCATTTTTAAATGTGAAACCAAACTACTTAGGCAAGTCACATTCAAGAATCTACCATAAAAAAGTTAGTTGTCCTGCTCCTTTTCCCCTTCACTTTTCAGTAACAGACTCAACAAGGAGATAAGGAAAGTAGATACTTGTTTATATTAATATATTGTACTTGAACACTTGCATTTTGCAGCAGGTACTTGATGAATGTGCTTTTGTGTCCAACTATGCCTCCTTTGTTGTAGTGCAATTAAAATTATGTGAACAATAACATGTTACAAATTCTAACTCAAATAGCACTTTTTTTAAAAAGTACTCTTTTCAGTGAAAAATAATTTCAAAATATCATGAGATTGAAATGTACCGGTGTATTTTACGAATAACAAGCCAAATGTGTTGCATGCTATTTACTAATGTGAATTAACATGGAACAATAGATATTGTTAACAGGACTCATATTATGAAATGCCCCCAACATACTGACAATCTGTCCATGGGGTTTTGTGTAGCCCACATATTCATGACCATCAGATTCCTGTCATCTGCTACCTCTTGCCAGTATTTCCACTTCCGTATGCCTGTGACCAGTGGAATTCATTTTCAGTTGGCTTGCGTGTATTCACATATGCTTATCTGCTGCTCTCATCACCATGTAAACAACTCCTGTTAAAACTGATACCAGCTGGTAAAAAAACCCAATCTTTGGGAGTTACTCATAGGGATTAAGGGCAGTATGTAGTCCTTCTCTGTTATTGACTTTCTGTATCCTTTTAACAAAACACCTTGGTGCTAGCATGCCCTGGCTAGGTCAAAAATAGGATGAAAGGGAAAGGGTTGCTACGGCATTCCCTAAGCAAGAGGCCTCTTTCTATCAGGGTCCAGTTTTCTCCAGGGCATGATTTTGTTTATCAGCTAATGTGTCTTTTCAGCTAACAAGAAAAGGGTTTTCTATGTATTCAGAAGAAACCTTTTTTTTTTTACCTCACTTAGGACATTAAAATTGTAAGGAGTATTTCCAAAGACACATTTCGCTCTCTTACTGGTGCTAGAACACTAGGGAGTCCGATGTTTACTCTGCAACATAACAGCACTGAGGTTGGAATTTAAAGAACCCCCTGGAGCAATGTTGAATTTTATTGTTAAAGGGAACAAAACACAGAATGTATGTGGATTTACAAACTAAGCAACGCTTCAGAGTAAGACCGAAAAATGAAACCTAATTCAAAGAAAAATGATTGGTTTCCACAGCACAGTTCATTGCTGCTGCTACACTGTAGCCATCTATATAATCTAAGCTAAATAGTGTTATATTCTTAAATAGTGACAAAAGAACTATTTGTATAGGCTGTAAATATGACACGCCTAAAATCAAATAGTAGAATACAAAATGCAGAAATCAATCTGGTGCCAGTACTTCCAGTGAGCAATACTATCAGCTGACAAAGATCAAAACAGAAAGAAAAATCTAGAGATTAACCCCTCAAGGTGTATACACCCCAAAATAGTCCATTTCATTAGAAACTTTGTAATGGAGTGAATGTCACATAGATATCCTTAATAATACAGACTGAAATTACCTTTGTATTATTGTGATTAGTTGCTTATTATTTTATACTCAGTATTAATGTGGTACACTGTTACTTTATTATTATTATTTTTGCTTTTGTAAATTATATTCTAATTTATTGTCATGTTTCTTAACACTTGTTCTACATGCATTCTCCTGCTTGTAATGAAAACAAAAATATTGTAACACTTGATGCAGTGAAATTCCACACCAGGCACAGATTTGTTTTTAACATAGATAATTTAGTAAAATAAAACTGCAGCTTTTAAGAATGATACCCATGGTACAGGTTGTCTGTTCCCTGACTTACAGTTACTAGAATTCTGTATGCTTAACGTTCGCTTTGTCAGATGCATCAAAATATATATTAGATGTTTTCTTTCAAGTAACATCTATATGTTACACTCGAATCCTGTCCTTGGCAGCAGCGATGTTTGTCATATATAAGCAAAACAATAAGGAAAAGGAAAAGTCAAAAACATGGTCATGTACATTATTAGATAATGTTTTAGCCTAAGCAATAATGTAGATCCAGAATGAAATTAATGGCAGCAAAAATATCCTGTACTTCTTGGTATGATTTCATTAACAGCCAGTCAATAATAACAATAACAATAAAATGTCCTTCTTGCATTGAGCTTTTAAGGTTTTATCTGAAGTTTATCTGAAGCCATGATGTTTTTAAATATAAAGAAGAAAGTAATTTCAGAAGACTTGGTGCTTAGGTCACTGTTGCTGAGAGATGCTTCTTTTCTTACCTGGTACAGTAGAAATATCTTGTACGGAAATCTCTGATCAAGTCCTATGAAATATTTCTTGTTTCTCAGTTAAAATCTAGTTTCTGGTTTTATGAAAATAATGACTCTGCTACTATGAGTGAGATGTTAAAGTACAAAGAATCTTAAACATTTTGATAAGGCGTTTACTAATTTTGGTTATTCTTTTTTATTCTATTTACAAATGAGGATTCAAAAAACAATTACCTGTTTTAAAGGTATGGGTATTTCTACCTCCGCTCTATCACAAAGTTTTATTGCCCTACAGATCAGAAGTTAAAGATGGAGTGGTCTTAGTAAATAACACAGTCTAATAACAGTTTTCTCTGTTATTCCAAAACCCTGTTGACTTTCCTCCCATACATTCATAGTTATTACCTGATAGGTTTCCCACTATTGTTCAGTTTTGAGTACTATTCTTCCCCCCTGGAGCGTTTGAGTTTTGGATTATAATGACAAACTGGGTACACTGAAACAGATGCTGTTGTGTGTCCCTCTCTTTTTCTCTTCCTGCTACCTTAAACCTAACATCACCCATGCTGACTATAGAATTCCTGGCACACAAAATTCCCTTCAGTCTTCTTAAAATGCAGTCTTCCTGTGTCTGAACTTCCTTCTGGAGCCAACCCTGCTATCATAATTCTCTGTTACACTTTTTCAATTTATTTCTTGAGGAAATGGACACCATTTTTACCTGAGATACTTGCTTTTCCTTTCTCTGATTTCCCTTGCTATATCCCACAACTGTTCCTTCATCAGTAAACTCCCTATTCTCTCTGAAGCTATCTGATCTACAAGAAGGACTTTTAAATATCCTCTGTAGAATGCTGAACTGGCCTTGGTTATTTTGCTGACTTTTTTTTTTTTTTTTTTTTTTAAATTTTATTACTAGGAACTAAGATCCAGGACTCTTCTATGGAGGTTTACTGCAATAGACTTTGGATGAGTCCTGTGAGCCTCATCTGGAATCAGTCATCAATCTGAGAGTCTTAAGAGAAGGCCATTACTAAGCTGCGGCTGTCATTCTGCGAGAAGTGACACCCTATCTGGCCGTCTTCCCTTCACCACAAACAACAATTAGGTGGAAGGAATGCTTCTGTGTGGTCCCTCCAATCTTTGTCTTAGACAGAATGGTGTAAGAGCGTTTGTGTGCAGTGATCAGGATGGAATCCCAAACAGATTTATAAGGGCTCAGTCAGCCACAGAACAAGGTTCACTGCAGCACTAGCAACTTGGTAGTTTCCCAAGTGTATTTGGCCCAGCTAAAGGGGGAATTCACGTCCAGTTTAGGAAACTGAGCCACTCAGAATGCGGCGTGGTGTGCATTTAAGGATACTGCGTCCCTTAAACTTGCATATCACCTAAGCACCACATGTCATTTATTTTTTTCTATTTCTGCACAGGACTGACATTTTCATTGAGCTGGGCAGGCTACAGGACACATAGTTTATGCTCAGAGGTTGTATAGCTGCCAGTCAGAAAATTACTGAAATCTGACCTGGATAGGATATAAGTATGTATTTCTGTATTAAGAGTGGGAGGATGCCATTTCTATAAACAGGAAGGCCTTTGCAGAGAAGACTAGATAAATAGTCTCACTTCTTTAGTAATCCTGTTTGGAACAAATTCATTGGATCACAGCTTGAGATAGAGAAGGAAGCGTTTTGGAAGCTAGAAGTGAAGGCTCAGCCAGAGAGTGCTCCACACTTCGGTTGCTATGA